CATATTCAACCTTTATAATAAGTAGAGAGAGAGATTAGAAGTATTAAAATATATAAAAATGTCTAGATATTTCTTCAGCACTTATATTATATTTATATCTAATTTAATTAGTGTTGAAATTGTCTGTACAGAGGTTTCTTATTAAGATAATTATTGAATTTCTTTGTATTGATATTATTGAGTTGTATGTATATCAGCTATCTATTACTGTTATAATTTCAATATTACTCAGAGTCACTGTGACACTGTATCTATACTTGCATTTAAGAGTTCTCTTATATTATCAGTAGATATAGCTATATTATTCATTGAATATATAATATCTATATTTAAGAGTTCTTCAGAATCAGAAGAAGTGTAATTATATAAATATCTTATATATCTAAGATATCAGAACTCTCAGATCTTTTACTGATATTCTCTTCATAAAATCTTATTACAGAGTCAGAGTAACTGATAGATAAGCTTCTATTTAGAGACTCAGTATCTGCTCAACTGATTGTTTATTTCTCTATTTCTTATATATTATTACATGTTCAAATATCTTCTCAATAAGTAATTGTTTCTAATAAAAAGATGATAAACATTTTTCAAGTATAAGAGACCTACACTGAATAGATCAGTATTAATATATAGATTTTAAATAATAAAAGTGAAAAATGTTAGAGAAGAAAAATAAAAAGAGAAAGTATAAGAATCAGTAATTAAAGTGAATATTTATACATGTATGAGATGAAGCTTCAGAGTGAAAGAATAGAAACTTCATAAGTTCTTCAGTCAAGAATCAGTGACTGAGAATTAAAGCTTTCAGTAAAAATCTATGAAGTGTAATGAAATAGTCTTATAATTAGACATAGCTTATCACAGTTTAAATTCTTTTACTAAAGCTATTTCTCTTTATAAAAAAGTATTAAATTAAATATTTAAATACTATTCTGTAAGAAAATAAAATCTGTTCACATAATTACTATATTTAATATTATATATACAATATTTATAAAATTTAACAGTTATTTTAATGTGAGAATTCATCTAATCTCAATGTAATTGAAGTAGCTTGATCTTGAATGAAGTGCAGATTATTAAAAAAAGAAGCTTTTAAAAACTGTATAAAAGTAGTTAAAGTATAAGAGCAGGTATGAAAGAATCTGTTACAAGAGAAAATACAGGCATGAATTAAGTGAATTTCTGTACATATTGAAAAGATTACAGAGTTAGAAGATGACAATGAGTATAGAGAAGAAAATAGTATAGATAAGATAAAAGAATAAAATACTTATCTAACTCTGCAGAGTGATAAATTAACATGCAGATTATATATTAAAAAGAGTGACAGATTTCATGTTAAATGATAGTGAAGAGTGACTTGTGAGACAAGGAATAATCAAGAGCTGAATATTCAGTATAAAATACAGTGTGAATTTCTGCCAAGATTTGTGACACTGTCTAGCTGTTTTTTTGCCGGCGTAATTCTTTTAATAGCGCTCTCTCACTAGCTAGCAATCTTTTCAGTTAAGCAAGCTTTACACTCTTTGCAGCTTTCTCTACACATCTTCTATTTTAATCAGGTTTTAAAAGCATCTAATATATTACTTTGCTTCACTCTGTAAATAAATCTTTACATCTCATTTTTCAATATAATATTATGTAGACTGGCCGCTGGGACTATGAATTTCACATTTGATTTCATTTGATCTGATCTCATACATTTCTTGGCATGAATTCTGCTGGGACTGGCTATCAAAAAAACATGTAAAGTGACTATATATCAGATCTTAAAATGAAATCATGACTAGACTGGCCGCCGGGATCATGAATTTCACGTTTGATCTCATTTGATCTGGTTCCATACATTTCTTGGCATGAATCCCGCTGGGACTGGCTATCAAAAAAACAGATAAAGTGACTATATATCAGATCTTAAAATGAAATCATGACTTGAAAAAAATGAGAAAGTGGTCTCATTTGATCTCATTTAGTCTCATTCTTGACATAAAGTTACTATTTTTAGACATTTTAAGGTTTTTTTTAGACTATTTTTAATTTTTTAAAAAGTAATGCTTTTTGATAACACTCAAATGAGATTTAAAGTCATTTAAAGCAATAAAAATAATTTAAATTGAGAAGTGAAAATCATGATCTCATTTGAAAAATGTGACAAGAGTAGACAGTAAGTCTCACTGAGACAGTATGAGACTACTATCTAATGTTAAAACCGTGTAATGAGATCAGTTGAATTGATAATAAGACTATCAAAAAAATCTGATTCTGATCTCAGACACGGTCACACGGTCAGTCTAATATTATGTAAGTCTTACTATTTCATTTATATTCCTTCTGAATAGAATAGAATATCTCAAGTAGTTATAAAGATATATGTAAGAGGCCTACACTGAATAGATCAGTATTATATTGATAGGTCTTATATAACAAAGATAAAAATGTTAAAGAAGAAAAGAAAGAGAAAGTGTAAGAATCAGTGATCAAGATAGATATTTATACATGTATGTAATAGTGTACACAGTGGAGCTTCAGAGTGGAAGAATATACACGCATTCATAGCAGCTGAGAATCAGTGATCAGAAATGGCTGAGAATCAGAGTATATACTACACACATTTGTAGCAGCTGTGAATCAGTGATCAGAAATGAAAGAATCTATGAAGTGTAATGAAATAGTCTATATGATTAATCAGATGCAGCCTGTCACATTAGCCTTCTCTTTTCAGAAGCAGTTCTCATCAGTCAAGAGCTACTGTTTTGAATAATACAGAACTCAGAGTTCAGGTCAGTTGATCATAGCTGACTCATTGATATCATATAGGCTCCACCACGAACTCGCTCGATTTTTCGAATAAGAACCCGCCGATAGATCCATCGAAAAGCCCTCGACCATATGAGCATTTTGACCCCATCGCCGACCGCATACCCCGTGTGGTGGTGGAGTTATCCAGCCAAATGTGAACCAGACGTCGTTCGGAACTCCTGTGTGGGATTATCCCCCATTCTCCCCTATCACACCACAACCCCGGGCCAAATTGCCATACAAATTGTAAGGTGAAGAGACCTAGCCATATGCACCAATCTTCTCGATTTTGGAAGATCCCCGATCTGTAGTTGTGGAGATATCTGAGAAGCGACCTCCGCGAAAACCCTGTCCATCTTTGATGTTCCAAAACATCAACGCCAAGTCCCACCCTTGTACCGCCCTTCCTAATCTGGCCCATCCCCGGCAGAAAAATACAAAAAGATACCTCAGCAATAATATCAAGCACATAATCAACAGTCACTCCTGAAGTGCAACCTCTGCAGTCTGTCTTCAGTGTATCTAGACATCAACACCAAGTCTCACCCTCGTACCACCTCTCTCAATCTGGCCCATTCCTGACAGAAAAGTACAAAAAGATATCTCAGCAACTGTACTCAATACATAATCAGCAGACACAATAACTATAAAATCAGTATATCTCAAGATCTGACTGAGCCTTTGATTCCTAGACTGGCCGCCGGGACCATGAATTTCATGTTTGGTCCCATTTGATCTGGTCCCATACATTTCTTGGCATGAATTCCACTGGGACTAATCATTAAATAAACATGTAAAGTGACTATATATCAGATCTTAAAATGAAATCATGACTTGAAAAAAATGAGAAAGTGATTTCATTTGATCTTATTTAGTTTCATTCTTGACATAAAGTTACTATTTTTAGATATTTTAAGGTTTTTTTTAGACTATTTTTAATTTTTTAAAAAGTAACACTTTTTAGTAACACTTAAATGAGATTTAAAGTCATTTAAAGCAATAAAAATAATTTAAATTGAGAAGTGAAAATCATGGTTTCATTTGAAAAATGTGACAAGAGTAGACAGTAAGTCTCACTGAGACAGTATGAGACTACTATCTAATATTAGAACTGTGTAATGAAATCTGTTCAATTGATAATGAGACTATCAAAAATTCTGATTCTGGTCTCAGACACAGTCACACGGTCAGTCTATTAATCTCTGCACAGTGAGATATATTAAATCTAGTTTTAATATCTCAATATTCAATAGATTCTGCAAGAGATTGAGAACAGCAATACTAGGTTTCTATTGAATTTGAGAATTAACTCTATATTGATATAATCATTGACAAAGTCTTCTATTTTAAGATATAAATAATCAGTTTCTCTACATCCCGCTGGCAATATTTACATTATTATATAGAAACAGACTTATATTCTCTATAATATCAAGACTCTGAAGAGGGAAAGTCTTGATAGAGAGTATACAGTAGTGCATATCTTAGCAGTTTCTATCTCATTCTTCTACAGCAGTTAATGTAAAAAAAAAAAAGATTTTAGAAATAGTTTTCTACTTCTCTTGAAAAAGTAAGATGTTTTTCTCTGAGTTTTATACAATATTCTTACAAAGAATTAAAAACAGGGTTGTTTTCTATCATAATTTCATATTCTTTTAAGTAAGAATTACTTTTTCAGTGACTGAAGAGCTTTCATTAATACTTAATTCTTTTTTATACTCTTTATTAACTGATTTGAGTTGCACACTTGTTGTGTGAGAAGAATTGAATAATTTAGAATAAAATTGAATAGTTTTAATCAATTTCTCTGCAAAAAATTAATTTATTTTTTGTCAGTTTTTCTCTCAAAAACTGTCATATCATCTGATTTACTATTAATTGATATCATACTTTTCCTCACTGTATCTCAAGAAAGAGATTGTAAAGATTTTATTGATTTATCTTAAAAATCAATTTTAGTTTATTAGATTCTCTTCAAAAATCTAACCTAGTTACTGAACTAGTGTGAAAAAAATCAGGTGTTTTATACACAAAAGTCTGTTATTCTTCTTTTGAAATAGTCTGATCAACTTTTCAATTGAAAACAGACTTAGAAACCTCTTAATTGAAACAGTGTGATCAACTTTTCAATTCAAAAGAGTTTAATAAATATCTCAATTAAATTAATCTGATCAACTTTTCATTGAGTAAGAACAATGAGTTCATCAAAAGTACACTCAGTTGATGTGGAAAAGAATGCTTTCTCAAATGCTATTCCTGAGATTGAAATTCTGAAGAGAAGAAAGAAAGAAGAAATAGAGAAACAACAAGTTCTTGAAATACAGAAACTTGAAAAAGCAAGTAAAATTCTTGAAAAGCAGTGTCTGAGTGAGATGAATGAAGAAGTTCTGTTAATTCTTCATACTCAGACTAGACAACTACAGAAAGTGATCAAGTTCAAACTTGAAATTTCAAACACAGTTTAAAAAACTTTGAAAATTTCTAATACAATCACTGACTCTTCAGTTTACTCTTCTTTCTTTTCTACTTCTTCTTCTTCTTCTTCTTTAAATCAGAAGAAAACATATGCTCAAGCAGCTGAATCTGCTGTCTCTTAAACCTGCTGTCTCTAAATCTGCTATCTCAAAACCTGCTCAAAATTCTGAGAAAACTGAGAAGAATACTGCTCATACTTCTAGTGATAGAAGAGTGAAGAAAAAAATGTAAAAAGAGAAAAATCTTCAAATCTCCAGAAATAGAAGACTTATTCTCAAAGTCTCAAATCAGGACATATTGCAGAGAAATAAGCTAAACTCAAACCTTATTTTCAGAATTAGAAATAAAATCAATCAGCAGTTCTTTTCTCAGTTAATGATTAATATTGAAGTTCAAAAATCAGTTATAGCTTCAATTGAGCTATTCTTCTTTGAAAACTTCATTATTCTGATCACAATGCCTGAATTCAGTGCAGAATTCCTTATTCAGAATGAGAATCTCTGAAAATCAGCAGTAGAATCTTTGTTAAACACAATAATTCTATCTGAGAGAGATGAAAAGTGAGACAAATTCATTCTTCATGATATTTCAGTTGAAATTTTTGACTGTGAAGAAGGAATGCTACATCTCAAAAATGAATTAAAAGAATACAACTCTATTCAACTGAGAAAAGAGCCTGTATGACTAAATTCAATTGAGTTCAGACAAAGTAAAAGAAATGCCTCTGTTCTAGTATATACAAAGACACTTGAACAGTCAAAGATCTCTGAAGTAAGAGTAGTAGATTTGAAAATGAGAGTTCATGAATACAAAGACTTAAGAATGAATCTCAAAGCTCAAACACAGTGTTCAAACTATCAAAGATATGAACACTTTGCAATCTCCTGTTTCAGAGACTCAAAATGTGCATTCTGTGTCAGAGATCATAAAACTAGTGAGTATAAATGTGAAACATGCTCAAAAAGAGGTGAAATATGTCAACACACTCTGCTTAAATACTCTAATTGCAAAGAAAAACATGCATCTAGCTCAAAAGAATGTATGTTTGCTTCAAGAACTCAAAAGAACTGAAGAAAAAATGAAGCTCAAAGTAAATCTAGAACTGAAGAGAATAGTCAAGTCAGTAAACTCACAACTGCAGACTCAAAAAGAAGAAACTCTCAATTATCTAAGTCTTCAAACTTCAATTCTCCAGCAAAATGTAAACAGAATTTGAATCCTCAAACTTCTGTTAAGATTAGAGAATTGAGAAATGACTCTGATAATAAACTAGATATAATGCAAGCAGTTGAGATTTCTACTTTTCAGAACAGTTATAATCTACTATCTAATGATAGTGATTAGATTCTACTCTACTCTCTTTTAGTATGAATATACAACAAAAACAACAAAAAAAGTTTAAAAACTCTTCAAAAATCACATTTATTTAAAATAATGTGAATAGAAACTCAAATTGCATTTATTCTTGTCTTCAAATTGTATTTGAATAAAAAGTTGATTTTATACTGCTTCAGAAGCTGAATTTTGATGCTGAGCAAAAATATGTTATTTCTTATTCAAGCTACTACTGCTTTTTACCTCAAAAGTCTGAGATAAAGTTGAGAGTAGTGATCTATGAAAAAAAGAGATCAAGATATCAATTTAATCTAAGATTTGATATCATGTCTGACTCTGATATTCTGATGAGTGATATTATAGATAAACAGAATGAGTTTAATACTATACAGCTCATAAATATCTATAATGAAAAGTTATTGAAGAAAAATAATAATATCTGAACAATTAATAGAGGATTTCTGAACATAACTTCATTAAGAAACTCTATAATTGCAGGAGATTTCAATGCACATCATCTCTGATGAAATTCAGAATGCAAAAGAGCAGTAAGAGCTGATAATCTAATTAAATGAATCTTTGAGCATTCAATAGATTTGATTAACAAGTCTGATTAACAAACATTCTTTAGAAAAGACATGAAACAGAAATCTATTATAGATCTAATCTTCATATCACAAAATCTAATAGAAAAAAGACTTGTAAACTGGTATATTGATTCAAATGAGACATCAGAATCAGATCATGAGATTATTCAATTTAATATTGAACTGAGTAAGAAATAAATGAGTGAAAATCCTCTTCTCTCTAATCAGTTTAACTTTGAAAAAGCTGACTGAAAGACAGTTGAAAAAAGTATAAAACTGTTAAAATCTGAAAGACAGAGTGAGCTATATTGAAATTCTGATCAAGATATCTCAAATAAAATGCTTGAGAATAGAGTGAAGCTTATTACATCTATTATTCTAGCAAGTGTTAAAGATAATATTTCAAAGAGAAAGTCTTCTAAGTATTCAAAATCTTGATGAAATGAGAATATTACATCTAAAAGAAAACAATTGACTACTGCTAGAAGAAATTGAAAGAATGATATAATTTCTGATAAAGAGTTCAAAGCTGTCAGAAATGAATATTTTTCAGATATTAAAAAAGCTAAAATAGACTGCTACAATAAATTTCTTGAAGAAGCATAAGAAAAAGAAGTTTTTAAAGCTTTTAACTATACTAAAACAAGAAGTGTAGCAAAACTTCCAACCTTAGAATATGAGTTTCAGAATGAATTATATACAGCAAACTCTTTTGAGAAAAAATATCAAGCTTTTATAAGAACTCTCTTTCAAAACTCATCAGATTCAGATTCAGAGGAAGAGAATATGTCATATCTCAACTATATTGATGAAAATGACTGGGAATGGCCTGATCTTACTCAAGATGAACTAGAGTCAGCTATCTTCTCAAGTTCAGTTAAGACTGCTGCAGAGCCTAATTCAATTAATCACTTAATTATTCAAAATACATACTTCTACTTAAGAAATGAATATTTTGAGCTCTTTTTCAATCTCTTGAAAAATGAATATCATTCTGAATGCTGGAGAGAAGCCACTAAAGTGATTCTTGCAAAACCTAATAGAAAAACTTCAATTTCTAAGTTATATAGAGTAATATCTCTATTGAACTGTCTAGAAAAGGTTTTAGAAAAGATAATAACTACTTAACTATCTTTTATAAGCTCTATAAGTGATTCTCTTTTATTCAGTGAACAAATGAGAGATAGAAAACAGTGCTCTGTAATTGATACTGTTCTCTCAGTTGTTCATGATATTTAAATAGCAAAGCACAAGAGTCTGGTTTCAACTGCAATTTTTATTGATATAAAAGAAGCATTTAATCATGTTTCAAAGTCAAAGTTAATTCAGACATTGAAGATATTAAAACTGTCACTTTCTCTAATAAAATGAGTTAACTGTTTTATATCTAAAAGAATTATTCAACTCTTCTTTGATGGAATGAAACAAGATAAGACTGAGATAAAAATAGAAGTATTATAAGAATCTTCAATCTCACTCATTTTATTTGCAATATACACTGCATATCTATTCAAAAATAGAAATATGAGAATAGTGCAATCTTCAAGTTATGTGAATAATATTGATCTAGTCTACAGCTTAAAAACTATCAAAGAGAATTTGAAAGTGATTAAAGAAGCTGCAAAGAAAATCTTTATTAAAGCAGATATCAATCAAATTCAATTTAATATGAATAAAACTGAGTTAATTCATTTCTTTTCTAGATTCAATGAGAAAGAACTATCTCTAACTCTTTTAAATAGAGAGATTAAACCCAGTGTAAATATTAAATAATTAGAAGTATGATTAAACTCCAAGTTGAATTTTAAATATCATATTCAACAAAGAACTGTCAAGGCAGAAAGACTATTAAACAACATAATTAGACTATCAAATACAGAGAGAGGTCTATCCTTCCAGGCTATGAGACAGTTATATATAGCCTGTATTACATCAGTAGCTGATTATGAAGTTCAAGTTTGATGAAATAATCAAAAGAATTTCACTGAACTCTTTCAAAGTCTGTAAAACAGAGTCTTGAGAAGAATTCTGAGAGCATTCAAATCATCTCCTATTAAAGCAATGAAAATTGAAGCTTCAATTTCTTCTTCTACTATTAGATTTGAAAAGACCTGTATGAACTATGCTCTGAGAGTTGTAAAGATGAGCTTAAATCATATAATCAGAGAAAGAGTCTCTTCTTCATTTTCATTAATTAACTCTGAAAATGAACTGGATTGAAATAGATTTCTTGATTGAAATGAAAATAATTCTTCAAAGAAAATGCCTTCTTAACTGTACAGACTATGCTCTCTGATTAAAAATCAATTCTCTTCTTTAAATGTTGAAAAAGTTGATCATGAGAAGTTATCTCTCTGAAGAGAAAAGCTTGAATCTCTTATAGACTTACAAATAAGTGAACTATCAAAAGAGAAAGAATATGAACAGCATTTAAAGAGAATCTCTACAATCAATATAAAAGACTCTATTCTGATTTATTCAGATGGCTCAAAAAATGAGAATTTGAATAGATTAGACACAGACATTGCTTATACTGAAGATAATATTAATTTTATCTCAGATTTCTGAAATGTAGGCTGTGAATCTGAAGTCTTTGATGCTGAACTATTTGCAATAGTGAAAGCTTTCAAACTCATTGAAATAAAATCTCATAAAGAGGAAATTGTTTGAAAGAGACATGAATATTCTCTGATAGTCAAGCTGCTTTAAAAAGACTTAGAAATAGTCAGATTTATAATGATTAAATGAATCTTGAACTGATCTTAAACTCTGTTTTGAAAATTCAAAAGAGAAGAATATCAAAGCTGATAATTCATCTGCACTGAGTTCCTGCTTATATGAATATTCATGGCAATGAATTGGCTGATTCAGCTGTAAAAAAGAGTGAAGAATTAAGCAGATCTATTCAAAAAATTGTGTCCTGATCTTTTATAAAGAGAAAAATAAAAGAATCTTGTTTAGACAAGTGAAATGAAAGCTAGCAGAAACAAAAGAAGTGTATACATTATTCAAGATTTGAAACAAAACTCAAGTAGAAATCTTGTTCAATTAAATGTAAAAAGAAAATA